GGCGAGTTCGACGAAGAGAACTGGGTAAACGTCGATCTCATCCCAGGTATCAGCCACGGCTTCTTGCAATTCGTAGGCGTGTTCCCCGAGGGCTGGAAGTACATCCATCGCTGCGGCAAATGGATCACCCAGGCTTTTGACGCCGATGCCGAAAAGGGTGAGCTTGAAACGCCCATGTACACGCCGCTTGCTTCAGTCCGACGGCCAGGCGAGAGAGGAGGCGATTATTTCGGGACTGTGGGGCTGGCGGATGCGATTGATGGGCTTACATCGCCTCAGCGGGGGCGACACCATCGCCGAACTGGGACTGCGAGCTCGATTGATGAGGATAGACCGCTGGAAATGACGGTGCTGAATAAGGGGAAGAGAAGCCCACAGAATAATCAGTCTGTAAAGGAAAGAGACTTGAATGTAAGGGGTAGGGGGAGAGTGAGGAAGAGTGAGCGTGGTAGAAGGAAGAGTCTGGTTAGTTTGGCTTCAGAGGATGATTTGCTGGGGAGAAGAATGAAGGGCCTAACGGGGGGTTTGGGTGGTGATGGTGTTGTTTGAGGAGAACAGGATTTGAAATGACTATGGTTGTGTTTGTTGGGTATTTAGCGTGCATGGATATATAGCGACTTTTGATGGATGAAATAGATGGTCTGCTGATGCGATGTTTCATGTCTTTTCGGTGATATTGTTGGTGTATATGATTGTGGGGTTTATAGTGGTAGTTTGAACCTGTGAATGTGTTATACACATCTCTTTTTCTTTTTGTCTGGAACCTTCTAGACGGGATTTATGGACACCTTGATCCGCTTCGTGGTACTTTAGCTAAATGATATATTAATCCGCTGTGTTCATCGTTGACGAAACTATCGTCTGTGATAACCATTCGTACAAGTCCTTTGGTGTAAGTATAGAGTCTTGCCCAGAAGCAAGGTGGTCCACCTCACTTAAGTTCAAGACGTAACAGTATGTAGGGATTTTTGTATTTTTTTTCGGCCGCGCCCAATGGAGTCATTTCATGAGCAACTAATGCCGTTATGATTCTCTCACTCAATATCTGAGTCATGAACCGATGTTAGTGAGTACCACTTCATAGTGGAGCTGCACATAGCAACGGAAGGAATAGGAAACTAGCAGATCGAACATGTGTGAGCGGTATTTCTTGACTCGCGAAGACAATTTTTACAGTTAGTACGTGTGTGTATGGATGGGAACAAAGTTCCAGTTCCGAGGTTTCGGCGCTGCGATCTTTGTGCTCATTCGTAGCTCCTGTGCTAGTGCGCCTTGGGCTTCGACGGTGGTGGGGAATGGTGCCATGTCGGGGTTTGTACAACTCATATTGATGGTTGGTGGAGCTGTAGAAATTGACTCGTAACGAAGCTCATTCTGCCGCTCATGACTATCGTGTCACTTTGATCTTCACAAAATGTCGGATGCTACACGTTCGTTTCTCCATATTCCATGGCCGGTTCTACCCGAGGTGGTCCCAACACATGGCTCTGGTCCCCCCTGGGGTTTCTGGAGAGTGGGCCTAGCAGCACTGTTGCAGGGCCTCCAGGCTGGGGGAGGCGAGGCTGGAGCGGAACATGTCGGACGATGTACTGAAGCTAGGCACACTCCCTCCCTCCATTCTCTACGGCTATGTCCACAAAGGGTATGGACGCCGATACCCTGGTGGTAAACCTGGAAGAGAGCCTCACCGACCAGGGTTTCCTCCGCCCTCCGATTCCGATAGTGATACGTGCGTCGAACTGGTTTGCTACTTTTTGGCAATTCGCACCGCTTCTTGACGAACCCAATGGCACAACGACGTCATAGCTTTGACGCTTTGACTGAAGTAAAGCCGGTCGAGGCTCCGGCAGTTGAACGGTGTTGAGAACTGGCTGCAAAGCCTAGTTGTCCGCCACTCCCGCATGCCACCCAATGCTTATCTTTACCTACTGTATCTCCAGCTTTGCGGGGTTTTGCTGGTACGATCTCAGGAACCTCCAACAAAACTCCACGGGGAATGACGTTCGAGACGAGGGGACACACACACCCTGCCTCTGGTGCAATCGGTGGATATCTCGGGCGAAAACTTTGTTGGATCGCAGAGCCTCATGTGGGGCGCTAGAAGCTTCTTTGCAGCCAAGCTCCACCAAGACGTCGGACCGATGCTTGTCTATCAACGCTCATCTCTGCTACTACTGGACGACGATTGGCAAACCTGCAACAACCGGCTTTAGACTCGCGCTTACTGTTTTGGCAGGGGGCCCGGTATCGCTATGCGCGCAAGCCAGAAAATTTGCTGTCTCTGTGCCATGGAGACTCCACATTACGTCACTCCAGCCCCATGAGGAGGACCATGGGGACTTCTCCATGGGCACCGATCTTCTCCACTGGGGTTTATAAAGGGAGGAGATGTGGACTGAAGAGCGTTTTTCTTATCGTGTGCGAGAGATCACTCGCGATTCTGCTGCGTCTCTTCTCTTTCGTTTGAACGCCCTCTCCTTCGCTAATCACTGCCCATCATGGACGAGAAGGATACCAAGATGGCTGAGTTTGGCAACAAGTCGGCAGACCCACAGCTCCAAACTGAAAAGAACGATAACATTCAAGTTGCTCCTGCGCCCGATTACTCTACACCAAAGGCCCGGACAGAGCAGCTTGAAGACGCGAGAGGATGGGAATCCGAGAATTTAATCCAGGATCTTTCAAAACAGCTTGAGCAGGCCAATTACAAGAAAGGTTTTTTCGACCTCGAATTCAAGAACCCTAAGCACTTCACATGGATGCTTGTTGTTTTTGCGTCCATGGGTGGTCTGCTTTCTGGTCTCGATCAGTCGCTTATTTCCGGTGCCAATTTGACACTTCCCCATGATCTGGGTCTTACCGATCAACAAAATTCGCTGGTCAACTCTGGCATGCCTCTAGGTGGTACGTTTTCAAGGAGAATTCTGTTTTCGAGACTTGGACTAAACTCATCTAGCTGTCGCTGGTGCTTTGCTCATCTCGCCATGCAATGAGTACTTTGGTCGCCGTTGGGCCATTATCATTTCCTGCATTCTCTATACGATTGGTGGCGCTCTAGAAGCTGGAGCCATGAACTACGGAATGATTGTTGCCGCCCGTGTCGTCCTGGGAGCTGGTGTTGGTCTCGAAGGAGGTACCGTCCCTGTCTATGTCGCCGAAACCGTCGAGAGCAGAATGCGTGGTAACATTGTCTCGCTGTATCAATTCAACATCGCGCTCGGAGAAGTTCTTGGCTATGCTGTCGCTGCCATGTTCATCAAAGTCCCAGGAAGCTGGCGCTATATCCTCGGTTCCTCGCTCGTTTTCTCCACCATCATGGGCATCGGTATTCTCTTCATGCCGGAAAGCCCCCGATACCTGATGCACAAGAAGAAGCCTCTGGAGTCCTTTAAGGTATGGATGCGTATTCGCGGTATCGCTACACACGAAGCGCGCGAGGAATTCTTCGTTATGAAAGTCAGCACCGAGATGGAGGAGGCTGAGGTGGCCGCTCAACGCACCAACCGTTTCCCATGGATGGACTTTTTTACCAAACCACGACCACGACGCGCCATTATTTACGCAAACATCATGGTATTTCTTGGTCAATTTACGGGTGTGAATGCAATTTTATATTACTTGGGAATTTTAATGTCGCAAATGGGCTTTAATACCTACGATTCGACATATGTTTCGCTTGTTGGTGGAGGCTCGCTTTTGATTGGCACAATTCCTGCTATATTCCTCATGGAAACCTGCGGACGTCGTTTCTGGGCTATTTCCATGCTGCCTGGCTTCCTCGTTGGTCTCGTCCTAGTCGGTGTCTCCTACCAGATCACTGATCTCAGCGGCAAACTCGCTATATACTTTACCGGTCTGGTCCTGTATATGCTGTTCTTCGGTTCCTACGCCGCACTCACTTGGGTCGTTCCATCTGAGGTCTACCCTACATACCTTCGTTCATATGGCATGACTACCTCGACTGCATGGCTGTTCCTCTCCTCTTTCATCATCACCTACAACTTCACTGGCATGCAAGAAGCCTTTACCAAGACAGGTCTTACAATTGGATTCTTTGGTGGCATTGCCGTTGTTGGTTGGTTCTACCAGATCTTCTTCATGCCTGAGACAAAGGATCTCACTCTTGAGGAAATCGACCAACTATTCCAAAAGCCAACCCGACAACTTGTCAAGGAGAATATGAAGAGTTCTTGGGAAGTTACGAAGGATCTGTGCCATTTCAGATTCAAGAAGGTGTTTATTGATAACAACCGCAGGCGCGGTCGTGAGGAGTAAGGGATGGCATGCGTAGATTCGCGGTGGTCATCCAGCACGCTTCACACATGGGCTATTCAGCCCTCATTTGATGAGTACACGGAGTTGAGACAAAGCATATAAAGATGCCAGGCTCAGAAATGACGATGACGCTTGATAGATTTCTTTGTAATTGTTCAATACCCGGATAGATTTTCTTCAATCCAATATATCATTTTAGCAGTTGCTATGAAACTTACCTCTTGGAATGTATCTTTCATGTGTTTTTAGCACCGGTCTATAAACTGGGCAATTACAGTTAATCGAGGCATGCACGCAATCGTTTTTAGTATATTACCAGACCCCCGGGTCGATACCAGAAGCCCACAACTTCCACAGATGCTCCACGCTACCAAATATAATCCATACAGTCCCCACAAAAGAGGGGCGTAACCAAATCCATCTGCATCTCCCCGCTCATCACCATACCAAACCCTCGAACAGGGGGTAACAGAATCGAAATTAACGAAACCACATTACTTAGCTTGTCTCTAATTCACAAAGCATAGCAACCCCTTAAACGAATCCGCAGCTCAAGAGAAAAAAAACCACAGCATTTCCAAACCAAGTCACTTCAAGACACAAAGTAAGACAGTCCGAGCGGGGTGTGCCTGACGCGAAACCCTCCCCAAAATCAGACATTGTCTCAGCAACACCATGTCTCTCTCTCTCTCTGTCTCTGATGAAGCTTGAAAAGCAGAACCAGCATGTTTTGCCATGCACCTTTGCCACCTCCATCTCCTTTCCCTTTCTCTCTTCCTAACTCCGAAACAAAAAACCCGACGACAACCGACAACGAAGAAAAAAAAGACTTCCCTCGATTCCTCAAACCGAAAGTCGGACTGCAAGAACGAAGCGAAAGAATTCACAGCCAGCGTTAACATCTTCTTCTTCTTCTTCTTCTTCTTCTTCTTCTTCTTCTTCAACTGCATTCATCAGCGAAACCTTCGATGATGACGCTCACCGTGTTCCCCCTCGACGGCGGTTCCTTCGAAAACACACCGCATGCTACCTCTTCTGGCACCGCGGTACTACCTAGCTGCATGCTCATCGTCTGTCTCGTCACCAACGCTGTTGCATTTGCGGGCGGGAGCTCGGGACTTGTGTATCAAGCGTTGGAACTGATAGGTGGCAGCCATGGTTAGTCCTTCTTCTCGCGCTATTTGTTTCTGAATTTGGTGGTGGATTTCGCGGGGTTTTTGCGTTCCGAAAGTGCGAGCGCTGGTGCTGAATTCGGGATTGAGCGGATGGGCTAATGCGAGTGGTGGTTGTTGTTGTTTTTTAGGATCGAATAGGATTGCGGCTAGTGCTGCTGTAGCTTATGGTGTGGAGGCGGGTGCGAAGATGGATACGTGATGGGGATCTGGGGAATGCTGGGTGGATCTGGCGGTAGTGGATCTGGCGGAAATGGAGATATGGGATGAGAGCGGGGAGCGAGATTGATGGGGCATGGGATGGGAATCATTCAAAGTCAAACAAGGGAGATCGGGGAATTGGTCTTGATGTTTTACTTAAGTTGGACTCATCTGATGGCAATGTGAAGAGGCTTTTATTTCAACAACGTCTGGATTCCAGCAACTTTTTTTTAATTTCCTGGAGACCTAATTATTGAGTCTGAGTACATTTTGAGCACCATTATACAGAAAATACAATACTTCGTGTTCTTCAAGTATGTATTGCAAAATCTGAAGACAAATGCTGCTCAATGGCTCTACTCCGCAATTGAACCTACTTCCGGTTCACAAGAGGAACATGCAAAAACAAAAAAAGATTTAGCTGAAGCCTCCCATCTCGAAATTACGCCGTAATCTAGCGAATTCAATGCGTAGACAGCAGTTACTCCCAAGATAGGTATAGGGCTTTCACAAACTGGCGTGACACCGAATTTCATTGTTCCGACCAAAATTGGATTTGGCTGCATGAAGATGCTGGAGTACGCATAATGCTTGACTGATCGTTGGGGTAGCACCGTAGATGATCCGTTTCGCCTGAGACGTAGAACGGCCGAATGGCTTGAGACATGTTGTCATCAGGCATATCATGTGCGTAAGGATTAGCGTAATTATGAGCGCTTCGCCTGGACGGCTGCATGTAGCAGTTACACATGGGTCTAGTGACCTTCATCCTATGTACGTAGGTGTGGCGGGGCGGTGAACGGCATCACGGAAGGTCATGTGGAGGGGAAATTTGGTTCGGCGAAGATCGACGTTGATGTATTCTTCCTGTGGGGCAATTGGTAAAATACGTTTGTAATGCCTTTGACCTTCCAGTAGCCATGGTTGCACTAAGATGTGTTATACATAATTCCACTAGCTGTGAAAGGAACACGTGCAGCTCTGAGAAGGCAACGTTGCCCTTGCATACGCTACTGCATTAGAAAGTGATCCGCTTAATTCGGACGGACCATAGTAGCTTCGACAAGATCACTGGCGTGCAATGTAATGACATGCATATTGACCATGAGTCTTGTGAAGATCCGCTGTCGGCTTTTGATCTCGGTAAAGCTTCCAACTTTGCTATGGGTAGCGCGACCAAGTATGCGGTAGTGTGTCCATAGCTGGCAAGAAATTGAGTACAATGCCAAAGTCTCCACTCTCGTCAATGTTTGTCCCTCTTTTCCGTGTCGTTGGCGTAGCATTAGTCCAAGATGGAATGATTTCTGTAGCACCGGGTATTCTCCAGGGACTTCCAAGTGGATTCTTATGAATACAGCGGTATGTTAACGCCCTATGGGGTCTATTCGGAGATGTGGTAAGTCGGTAATATGATCCACTTTCTTCTTTTTCCCGTTTCTCATCTCCCGTCAGCCTGCCCCTGCTCTTTTGCCCTCCTCTTTTCGACAATCATTGCAATTTTCCTTTCCATCTCGTTCTTCTTTAGTACTAAATCGGAACGTGTGACTTCGAGTTGGGCGATCCGTTCTTCGGGTGTGGCTTGGAGGATCTGTCTTTTTTGCTAAAGAGACAAACTATTAGCATATGGTTTGTTGGACACTCAGGACTGGGCTCAGTAGTCCAAATTGCCTTCACAGACATACGGTATATTTGAGAGGGAGTGATCTTGACAAATCCTTCACATAAAGCGAATGAGCAACATACCTGCTTGATTTCTTGCTGTCCCTTCAACCCCGCGCCATAGATGGTCCCGGTTATTGTGATAGCAGCGACTGCGCCAGTCATGATCCAGCGCCGGACGGTCTGGAGAGTTGCCATGGTTCCTCGTGAGATGATCCCGGTGAGACGATGCGACGAGGGGTCAATGATGGTGCGCAGGGTCAGTGGAGTTGAGGCCGCAGAAAAGTCGAAGCGGAGTGGAGATTCCAATCGCCAAGCCCTGTTCGCCGCGGGAGTCCCACCACCATTCAATGCAACGCGTCCCCCACTTCTGCGCCCACAACAATCACACCACCAACGCTGACGACCAACGACTATATTCACCTCGGACCCCAGCGCTAAACCTCGAAGCCTTCGGCGACTAAAGTGATTACGATGTCGAATGTCCCTCGCTCCCACACTCCAGGCGGCTCGCGCCTCAGTACCGTACCCTCGCAGAAGCCGCGTCAACTCTCTCACCTACAAGCGCAACTAGCACAACTGACGGCAAACATGGCGGATCTGGAGAGTCTGATGCGTATGACTGCTGGTCAAGCACAGGATATGCGGGGATTGGGCGGTTATGCTGGCGCCATGTAAGTTGCGACGGTTAGGATACTCAGCCAAATCCAGGACAAGGAGCAGGGCTCAAGCTGTGTAGATAACGGGCGCTAATGCTGGATATCTAGGTTCATGGCGGCAAGCAAAGTCTTGGGAGAAGAGACGGTCAAGGGCGGCGGAGCGGCAGACGACAAGAAGGCGGGAAAGGAATGAATTAAATAAGACCACACAGCGACCGTGCTATGTATCCCGCGCATGCCTCGAATCCCGAGACGAAACGAACGTACAAACAGGGCAAGGTGATGCCATAATTGGCAATCTCTGTGTCACGTCACGTCAGGCCGGTTGACGAGATAGGGAGCGTGGATGTCACCATCCCCACGGAGAAGGGCGCTTGGATATCAGCAAGGGGACGGCAGGAAATGCTCGAGAGACGGAATCATCGGGATGTACACAGATACCCGACGAAACATCTGATGGTTCCTGCAGCGATACTAGGTTGGTGCGGTATGGATGAAAATGTTTAGCCACCCAGCAATGTACTCACATACCACGATATGAAATCCCCGCACCCCGATTTTAGGCCATCCCCAAATACTGTGGGGGGCCCCTTATCCAAACCCACTTGCGACGATCATGCAAAAAAAAAACCGCGATTTTGATTGCCCAGCTTACATGACCGGCCGACGGCGAGAACGTTAGTTATCATGGCCGCAAATAGGCCCCAAGACACGACAATAGCAAAAGCACAGTCTCGCCAACTCAACAAGATGCAGGGTCTAGAGTTCTTATCGACTACGCTGATTCGCCAGGGCGTGTGCCTGGGGAAGCCAAACGATGCTCATTGCTTCGCGCACAGCCGCAGTATACATTTCCCTGCGTAAGATAAGGTATCTGGAGATAGTCTATCTCTGTTTCACATCCACAATAGGAAGGCCACCTACTCGCTGGATATGTGGACTGCACCCAAACCGACCACGTTTGCCTGCATTCGCAAGCATTATTGGCTGCTCGGAAGGTGAGGAGGGAGGATATGAGGCTGAAAGGGGGTGGTGCAAGCACCACTAAGAATACGGCTATCAATCGCGCAATGATAACGCGCAATGGTATCACTGCACGATGTGGCTCTGGCAGTAGACCCTGCACCTGTATAAGAAGTCGCATGTGCCGCCGCCATTGCATTTCTGGGCTGGAAAGCAAATCTGGCGCCCCCTCCCTCCCCCGTTTTCCGTGTGCACTGGACGACTTGGTTCCGCTCCGCCGTTGTGGCCCCATTCCGCTGAGGGTGCCAAGATGGCGCGCCTTGAAGATTCAACAAGTCAAGCTTGAGCCATTGCGGGTTGGTTTTCAACAACAAGCATTTTGTTTGAGGAAAAAGCCACAGTCCTCTCTCTCCCGTTGCCTTCGGACGTTCGGACACAGTAGCGAGCGTGCAGCCCATCCACGGGTCGGCCGGACTCACTGACGCAAGCATCATCCCCGTCGCCACCAATGTTTCCCGAATTCTATTGCCCAGCGGACAATCATGTAGGGAAACGTCACGACCCAGGACGACCAGTTATTGCCACTGCCTTGGTTTCGACATGTAGACGGCCGGCAGTGACATGTAAGCGCTGACGAACCGCCTTGTACGAATCTGGAGAAGAAGCACGCGAGACGGCAACAAGCACACGATCAGGAAAAGGACCCTTTTCCACTCTGTTCACTCACGGCCGACCCCGTCGATGGTCGACCGAGGGCGGTGTCGTGGACGATCAAGGGATCATCCGCCGAATTACCCATATTCGAGTCTTCTAAATGAATCACGTACGCCAACCCCCACGGGCATCCCGCGTCTCGTATCGAAGGCATACGACCTTGAAACCTTGTCCAAGCCAACGAGGCGTTTCGACCGTGACGAGGAGAAGGCAGGAGACATGCACCCGCATGGTCGCAAGGGGATTGGGTGGCCCTGGAGCTATTGATTGTCGGCGGTTGCAGCGGTTGATTGGTGCCGTTGGTGCCGTGTGGACATGCGAGGGTGCGCATGTGTGGTGGGTGTGGATTTCGGTACTGCGCCAGCACCAGTGCTAAGGGTCGCGGTCCAGCAAAGCGGATAATACCGTGCGAGGATTGTTCCGACAAAGAGCAAGTGCAGACATCCGATAACGCAGGCATTGGAGGATGTTTTGAAATCAAGATTGGGTCAGGGCGAAATGCAGCATAGGACGCAGAGGAGGCTCGTGTTGTTGAACGACTACTGTGTGTGTAGCGTGCCCAAAGCCATCAATGCGGCGACAAGCGAAGTTAGAGCGGATTCAGTCGGGTTTAGCAAAGGATCTAAGCTCCACTTTACCAGCTTATGCATGCAAGTCAGAAGCAAATGGCGTTTTTTGGAGGGGGGTCGGATGGGGGCTGGGGGGGGGGGCGCTTGCATGGACAGGGATGCTCGGCTTGACCGCTTGCTCTTTTCGGGGCAAGACACGTGGGGGTGCATCCTCTTCTCAATATCGAGCACACCCTGCCTGCATGCCTCTACTGCCGACGAGTAGACTGGAGACGGAGCCCTTGGGCCGCACTTGATTGTGACAGAATACATGCTCTGGAGAAAATGGCTCAGCAGTCGGCGGAGATGGATGCTAGTGTAGCGACATGACTTGGGTTGTGATATTGGTTCGCATGTGAAACTCCGTTGGACTGGTGAGCCGGGATCTAGACGACTGGCTCCAGATTAGCCGATGCACGACGTCAACCATCGGTGCTCGCGGGCTGGTAGATGAGTCGTACCCGAAGTAATGCCAGTAGGGCAACCCATGGTATGCATCCAGTAGAGTAGGTAGGTGAATGAGTATCTATCAATGTTTCGATGCACAGGAAATTGCTGGACCCTTTTTTGCATCCCCTTGATATTACAAACATTGCCAAGGGGGGGGGGAAGGGGGGTTACGGTACGGCTTGGTTGGACCCCAAAAGCATCGCGGTTCAAAGCTTTGACGCACCGACTACTACTACAGAACAGCATGATATGCTTGAGGAGAAAGCCGTGGATAGCACTGGACTCGACGACCTGTGTGTACTTTACTGGAACCAATGCAGGCCAAGAGAGAGAGCGACGCTCTTCGATCTTCAAGGACTGCCTCGACGTCTCACAGATCGCAGTGCAAATGGCAAAAAATTGCGTGGCTGCGCCTCACGTGCCTCGAGTACCGTATGTAGTACATGTACATGGCTCTTGCCTGACGTATGTCCCTGCCTAGAGTGCGCACTACATGTGTGTAGAAGCACAGATAGCTATGCAGGCAAAGATCTAGAAGAATTGCCACCACGGACAAACCATGGCCATAGTTCATGCGAGTGTTGCCAGTTTCACCTTGCTCTCTCCACCATGTGCGTAACGGTTACATGTCCATGAGGATGGATCTGCCTCGACCCGCGCGGATTTTCCGACGGCCGCAGAGGGTACATGTCCGCGTGTGGGTGCTGGTGGACTCGGGGTGGAACAATGGTTTGGGGTTCTGGCTGGGTTGGGGCAGAAAAGGATTGTGGGTGGATGTGCCAGTGTTGCCGGTACAAGGTGCCGTCTAATGGGGTGAGGGCAATGCGACTGGGGCGGTGGATGCTGTTGAGGGCGCCAGACCCTCTAGTTGTACCTGTATTGCGTGTTAAGGCGGGCGTGGAGATTGTGCATCACCAAAAGCGACTACAGCCACGTGCTCGTGCGCGGCGAGAGGTGGGCCCGCGGTAAGAAGAGGCTAATGAAGGCGGTGGGTCTGGTAAGTAAACAATGAGACCCTGAGATGAGGCCGTGAGGCTGTCGGAAAATGTAGGGATAGAAGTGCCGAGCCCAAGGGGGGGCTGCGGCAGTATTCGGACCAGATACTCCACAGCGGGTAAACAACGAGCAGGTATTGCTGCATTTTGGAGAGGGCGAGTGCGTCTCGTTTTTTTTGGCGCTGGCTGCACCAACAATGCCAGCCAGTCGAGCGAGGTCGGGCGACCAAGCCCAATTGTGAGCAGTGCGGCCAGGCATACCTGCCCCAGAGTGGAAAAAGGCACAGCCGAGCCACCCACAGCTGTACGTACTGTACATACGTACTACATACATACGTAGTTTATAGTACGTATGTAGGTGTGTGTACACACATAGCTACATGGGCAATGGTGCTGCTGCTGCTGCTCCTGTTGCTGCACGCCATTAGTGGACCAAGGGAGGCTGCAGGCTGCAGGCTGACGAATAGCACGGCTGACGGAGCGGTTGTCTATTCGCGTAAGCCTTCACGACTACAGTGGCTATGGATGGCGAAGCGGTGCTAGAACATGTCAAGAGGGACGAGGGAACATTAGCGAGGCTCGGGCAGACGTAGCCCGACGGGGCATGCAGGCAGGAGGAACAGTGACGTACCCAGACGGGCGTGGCAGGCAGCGAGGCAGCGAGGCAGCGAGGCAAGAGGGCAGAGAAGGGCCAGACACGGTGGCCAGAATTGCCGCAGGAAAAAAAATAGAAAATCCTCCCGCAAGTGGTTGCACATGTCAATGCTTGTGCTAGCAGACGAATGGCTCCGAGCCCGTTACCCAGGATCCCAAGTGTGTGTATGAGCTGCACGGTTCAGGCGGTCTTGAGACGGACCGGGGCCTGCATGCTAAGCGGCAAGTAGCAGAGACAGGCGCACCTGTCGCTCAACCGCCCGCCGTCGTGGCTGCTGGGCTGCTGGGCTGGTCTGGTCTTGGTGGGTGTGGTCACCGAGATTGCTGTTGGGAGTAGAGTACTGTGTAGAGATGATGCTGTTTGACCATGATGCCATCTGCATCTACTCTACACGACCATCCATCTACCGACGAGAGGCGTCAGGCAGGCCAGACACACCAGACAGACACAGACACAGACACAGACACAGACAGGGCCCCAAACAACACCACGCCCGGCTGCGCGTCTGCGTCGAGGCTGCGACTACGAGGGCCACGCTGGCTGCACGCGTGATTGGCGACCGAGGGTGAATTGGTGGGGGCTGCGTGGGTGCGAACGCTCCACCCTCTGCATCTCATCCTCTTCCCAGAGGCCCAGCGTCACGACTCTCGACCCACACAGCGCCCCCTGCTGCCGTCGCATGCTGTAGCCCGCAATCGCTGCAATTCAATTATTGCGCCGCTCACTGGTGGTCCACGACCCTAAACATATCGAGGGTCCTTCCCCGTGGAGGTGAACCAGCTCGACGACTGCGGTCACGACCACAGCAAAGCTGCCCATTATCCTCCTCCAGCACAGAGCAGCACAGCAGTCCACATCCCCCCCTCTCCCCTCTCCCCCCAAGCCCACACACAGTCCACAATCCACTGTCCACTGCAACCCCCCCCCTCCCCAGCACTAATTACCCACTGCCCAGGGCCCCATTTCGGCTGTGGTTGCAGCTGAGGGCCGCCCGCTGCTGCTGCTAACGTGGGGTGCTCCCATCCGGTCCAGAGCACGCGCCGACGCACGCAGCTACATCATCGCCTTCCCTCAGTGCCTGCTGCACATTTACCACTGCTTCCCAGCGAGGCCTCTCATCCCGCCTCCAGAATTTCCATGGACTTTGCCCTGCCCAAAGACACCATGGAGATTTCGCCGTCGCAGGACTCGGCCCGCCGGGGTGTGCTCCAGGATGCCATATTTCCAGCATTCGGCAACGATGCGGGCAGCCCTGGGGCCGAGTCGCCAGAGCAGATGCAGAAGAACGACCCACTAGGCACGCAGATATGGAAACTGTACTCACGAGCAAAGACACAGCTGCCCAATGCAGAGCGCATGGAGAATCTGACATGGCGAATGATGGCCATGAACATGCGTCGTGCTGACATGGATCGCAATAAAGGGTATGGATGCCGCCATTTGCTTTTGCGCCACTACCAGCGAGCCTCCCTCAACCAGCTGCTAACCTTTTGTTTGTCGTGTAGGCCTAGCCAGAACACACAGAGCAATCAAACGATGCCTCCTCCAGCGGCCTCGTCCAGGCCGCCGCCCCGATCCGCTCCAAGCGGCATTGCCCAGCAGTTGAGAAAGTCGCAGGATCAGCAGGCGCAGGTACACCAGCCTGCCCAAGACGCAATGAACCTGGATGATTTTATATTTCCTTCGTCGGTTGGCAGTCCTGCAGGCCTATCGCCCCCAGGGTCGAATGAGGATGCGGCTCCATTTATTGCAACAGCCCCAGCGATACCGATAAGGAAGCCGCATCTGGCCAGCGACCATAACCTCTCCCTCGCCCGCGCTTCTGCCCCCTCGGTGCCTCCTGCCATCAGCAAAGAGGATGAATTTGGCTACGTCCCACGACACGTCCGCAAAACCAGCATCGACGAGCGACGAGTGAGTCTTGCCCTTATCTCTTACTACTCCTACTGCTCTCTCTTACTCTCTCTCTCTCGCCCTTGTTGCCTCCTCTTCCCTATCTCTCCCTCCCTTGTTGTTCTACTCTCCTTTGCTTTCTCCTCGTCGCTCATCCCTAACGCCTTATCAGCCACCCAAGCGCCGCGCTGAAGCTTCGCCTCTGGTTCCTCCTGTCAACAGCATCATGATACCCACCGATGCTCACTCAGAGGCCGACCTGCACCAGTACTCGCTGGACAACAACACCATGCAGCCGCCTACCTTCCCCGCCTCGCAGGGTCAGGGTGCCTTCTCCCTAGACACCTTTCAGATGCACGAAGATCCCGCCGTCCACTCGGCCGGACCCTACCAGCAGAGCTTCTCGGGCTTCTCTCCCGTCGGCTCGCCTCTGATGAGCCACAACGCATTCAATTCAAACATGTTTAACCACAACTCCATGGCCTCGTCGCTCAACTCCACCGACTACTATTCTCCACCCAGCTCCGCCTTCCCCTCCACCGTCTCGACTCCACAACCCATCTCAGAAGACAGCCAAATGTACTTTGACCGCAGCGGCATGGATATCCGTACCTCACAGCATGGTGCTTCCTATGGACCCCATCGCCCATCAAACCTATCGACGTCGATGCAACCGCAATACATCTTCAACCCTGGGGCTGGTGGTCAAGACTCCGTCTTCAGCCCAGTGACGAGTGCGAGCTCCTCGCTACCATTCTCAGTGTCATCCTTTGGTCAATCAAACCACGTCGATCCGTCGCAGGTACTTCACAATAACCTGCCCTTGCGCCAGCAACACGAGCTGCAGATGGGTCGTCAAGAGAACATGTTCACCTTTGGCGCCGACTCCGATGCCGAGGACGACGAAGGAAGCGCCTTCGCCGACCGTACCATGCCACCACAGGAATACTCGCACATGGACGACAGCTCCATCGACTTCAACACGGGATACCAGTGGGAGACAAACCTCTCCAACCAATTCAATCCCATGCAAGCGCGCTACCCTGCTGGCCCACCACGCAAGACAGTCACTATTGGTGGAACCGAAATGGTTCACTCACCGCAAGATCATTGGAGTCCCGGGGGCAGCCTTGGTCGGACCCATGGCTCGGCGGCTTCTGTAAGCGACATACGCAATAGAGGCACCGATCCACGACGCCAGAAAATACCCCGCACTAGCTCAACCCCCAATGCAGCTGGAATGATGCATCAGGGCATGCACGGCATCGTGTCATCTCCAAACTCGCCTCCAGAGTCTGGCTTCAATTCTGCGGCTCCATCGCGACCTCAGAGTCCTGGTGGAACAAAGCAAGGCGAAGGTGGTGCTCCGACGACTTGCACGAATTGCTTTACCCAAACAACGCCGCTGTGGCGCCGTAACCCCGAAGGGCACCCACTTTGCAATGCATGCGGCCTGTTTTTGAAGCTGCACGGCGTGGTTCGGCCTTTGTCGCTGAAGACCGATGTCATCAAGAAGCGCAATCGCGGTAGTGGCAACGCACCAGTGGGTACTGCATCCACGCGCTCGTCAAAGAAATCTTCTCGTAAGAATTCCATTGCACACACACCAGCCACGACGCCCACGTCGCACAAGGCGGCTGATTCGGAGTCTCCGAAGTCCACCGGCTCAGCTGGCGGAGGCTCCAGTAATTTGTCTTCTGCTACTACACCGACCTCGTCCAAACCAAACAGTGTAGTTCCCATTGCTCCGGGCCCACCAAAGTCCAATAGCTCCGTAACTTTGACCCAAACGCGCGGTGTCGCTGTTGCACCCAAGCGAAACCGTGGTCAGAGCAAGAGCGAGTCACAGGAACTGGAAATGGCCGACGCGGACGACACTAATGGAAGGGCGCCGTTGCGCAGAAAAGACACTGCCATTGCAACTTCCAGTCCCTTTCCAGGACAGAGCCTTGGTGCTCTTCCCATGGGCGCAATGGGCCAGGGTCTCCAGTCATCCGGTCCTGCTGAATGGGTATGTACACATCTGTCTATATTGATATGTCTTTCTTTTTTTTGCTAACAAATTCCGTGTAGGAATGGCTGACCATGAGCTTGTGATTACGGCAAATTTTCTTGCATATATCTCTACAGCCCCACTTCGGACCAACGCCGAAGATTCATCCTGGCATCCCTCGGGACCGATTACGACCCACACTGCTTTGCTTTACAATAATGGCCTCGGTGTTTGGAGTTTTGAACAGCCAGGCTCCTACTTTAGCCATTTGCTTGTCTTTTGAATGTCTTTCATTTGCCTTTGATACCTCAGCCTTTGGCAATGCAATGTATTGCAACGATAGACATGGCCTCGCTTTTTGTTTTCTGACATACCCTGTTTGCTTTTTTTTCTCTTCTGTTTTCAAAGGGTCAGCAGATGGAGGAGGCAGGCGCTCCATGAGGCTGTACACTGCTCTAATGTCTCACAAAGGAGAGAAAGATGTTGGATAGAGGCGGATGAGGGCTGCCGATTTGTATCCATGGGCATCATATCTTTGAGACGACCGTTTTTCCACTACATGAGCTCACGAGACATTTCCTGGAATCCGCAATGCACGCAAGATACATGTCTGCATACTGTGGTATCAATGACACTGGGATGGGGTAACAACGCTCTCTTTGTATGAGGGCGAATCAGGACAACTCGGGTTATGTAACTGGATGTGGTACACTGGGCGGATGTATATATGATGTTTTTTTTTGCATCTTGTCCGATATCCTTGATGGTTTTAGTAGGCGATCATTCCGCAGCAGCAAGCGAATGCTATTTGTATTAACAAGCTTGACTGCGCATATCTAAAAGTGATGCTTTGATTTTGTTTGGATGCCATTTAGAGATGTGCAATTGGTTGTGTAACGCATTCGTCAGTGTGTTTGTAGTGTAGGAAGAAGGCACGGTTGGAAGGTGCCGTTGATCCGTTAGCCGGCTTGTTGTTGCCGATTCTACTTACTGGTTGCCGTGGGTCGGCCCTTCCGTCATCCATCGGGATGTCAGCATACCCAGGTCATGCTTAGCTGAGCCTTTTCCAACTACACTTTCCGATACCACAAACACTCAACCACATCAGCCAGGATGCCCAAAGCTTTGATTCTTATTGCAGATGGATCTGAAGAGATTGAATTTGTCACTCCTTATGATGGTAGGCGACTGAGGGGAAGGTTGGGCTCGGACGCTGACACATGATACCAGTGTTGACCCGAGCGGGATTTGAAGTCAAGAGTGCAGGTATATCGCTCCAAAATGAAGCATATGCCCAGTCAGTCACGACTTGATAGACAAACACCATCTGAGTTTGCTAATATGTCGGGGGCCCATTCTAGCATGTCACGTAATATCCGCATTGTACCTGACTACGCGAACCTCAACTCTGTCCCTTTGCAACCTGCTCATGAGCACTTTGACGTGCTGATTCTACCTGGAGGCGGACCGGGATCGAAGACCTTTTGCGAGAGCGATGCCGTGTTGAAACTAATTGACGGCTTCCAACAGGCTGGGAAGTGGGTTGCGGCAATTTGTGCAGCGACTACGGCACTAGTCGCTTCAACGAAGAAGTTTGATAAAGACAAGAAAAGGGTCACCAGTCACCCAAGTGTGGCAGAAGAAATCAAGGTTGCGGGCTGGCAGTACAGCGAAGATCGATTGGTCGTGGATGGAAAGGTCATCACGAGTCGCGGGTAACATGAGGTCTCGCTTGAGGCATCGAGGGAGTTTGCTAACTTTCTGTACACAGACCGGGTACTGCGATGCTGTTTGCGCTCACGATTGTCGAAGTCATCAGTGGAAAAGAGAAGAGAGACGAGATTGCAGGGCCCATGGTACTAGCTGAGAAGTTGTAGGGCAGACGTATACCACCGACTATCAAGATGTTATACAGCCTTCAACGCACGCAATTATGCCATTGCTGGAGGCAGGAATTGCCGACGTATTCCCAAAGACTGGTCGGCTAGGGCGGTTGATACACAGGCCAGTAAAGACAGTCGCTGTACGCGTAACCGACCGTTCAATGCACAGATGTCTTTGCTGCGCCATTCGCTCTGCTAGTGCTAAGCAGTGTCCATGCTAACGCGAAAAGGGGCGACCCCGCGCACTAACGGTGATGAAACAGAGCAACACTTTGGCTGTGCAACATTTATTGTGTCTACTTACCTCACAAATGCGCATATTAGGGCTAATTCAAGACACTGTCTCGCCTCTCTACCATACTTGGGTACGCGTTGAGATATTGCAATTTGCTAACGTATGTGTTCTATCAAGGGGCATGACGCAATAAAAGAAAATGGTATGCAGCTCGGATTGGATATCTTCTTAGTGTGAAGGGTTACCGAATGCGAGGTCGCTCGCCGTTGTCTAAAACGGATGCGAGATTCCCGGGTCGACATGGATATTTGATTGGAGGCGAGAGGTGGAGGCTTAATCAAATATGGATTAAGCACACGCCGTCGTGTAAGGACAAGTCAGCTACGCGACGATGGTGCGCTGAATTCAATGGACATGGTGTGGAACCGCGCAAGTGTACCAATTTCTGAGCATCATGTTATGGAAGCAATAAGCTATAGTGGCTGGCGAGGACAGGGCGTTTTCCATGACTAGGATTTGGACTTGTGTGGGCGTCATGCATCTCCTGACTGCGCTTAGAGGATGCTGGTCCCTGATGAAGCAACCCCACTGCAAGATTCGGTAGCCGAGCGGCGAGCTCGTTAGACAAGTAAGTGGCTGGAGCCGCATATTAAGTACACTCCACTCTTTTATCGTCTCGCTTCTGACTTTGCTAGGCCGTCAATATCGCCAACTGTGCAGCGTTCAAGTGCACAAAGCATGTAACGACAGCAAACCTGACTGTTTGCCAGTCTTTGCTTTACCGGCATCGGGGCAACCAAGACAGCTTGGCCACTAGGTGTACTTCGGTATATTAAGTTCCACGAAGCACGTAGGCATGGTTACATTACAATACATGCCCGAACGTATTCCGAGCACCTTGATTGGATGGTGCAGGCACGAAACTGAACAGTGGAGTCGGCCATGACCACGGCTGTGCCAGCACCCCCTCCACAACACGCCAAATAATACACTCTATGACGCTATCCTGCTTTGGGGAGCTCGTTTTCTTGCCAAAGTAGGCTAGCGTAGCTAGAAGTGTATCATTTTTGGCGTGGAGGGGGTGCCCGTGAAAAGGCCGTCGTGGAGACTGTCTGCAGATCTCTCGCCGAGACCCCAGAACGTGTCCAAACACAAACCGCCTCGGCCTATCCGCCGCCGTACACACCGTATACACCGTATACACCGTATACACCGTACACCAACTAGGGGCTGGCCGCTCCTGTCTTCTCAGGGCCGCGGCCCACGCGAGTAGCTTAATGCACAGCGATCAAGCCGGGGGAGCGCTTAGATGGTCTCCTATATCTTGCGCCTCCCCTCCATAGACATTCGCTCCCAACTCTAGCACAATTGTCTACAACGTCCCGAATTGACTTGACCATTTCTCTTGTCGCCTCTGGCACACAACTCTACCAACATGGACCCGCAGACTGCTGCGCAGATAGTGCACACGCTGCAGACAACAGCCATAGCCGCTGTGATATTTGCTGCATGTGTCTTGCTCCCCAGACTCCAGGCCAAAGCCCAGCTTGAGAAGCTGCCTTCCGCTAATCTTGACGCGGGCGAGAAGGCGCGGCAAGCATTCATAACCTCAGCAAGAAAGCTCTATCAAGATGGGTACCACAATGTACAACGCCTTCAACCTTTCGCCAAACCTCCATCTGCTGACCACATGATTAGTTCAAAAATAGCGTTTTCAGACTCATCAACGAGAATGGTAGGTCAACCCCCATCCTAAAAGCAAATACTCGAGTCGTTACTTACATTTTCTGCAGGCCAAGAAAACGTCATTGTGCCCCGGAGTTTGCTGCAAGAGCTTCGGAAAATGCCCGACGATGTCCTCAGCTTTCCAAAGGCTATAGAGGATGTGCGTTGAAAGAATACCTTGTGTTGGAATAGAATAATTTTGCTAACCTCATCTGGTAGGATATGGAAATCAAGTACACAAGACTGCAAAGCGAGGGTGCCACGGCCATCCATGTGGTCAAGAGTGACCTTACTTCAGCACTACGTAAGATTCCAAGACAAAAAAGCACTATGGCATACGAGCTAGTTTTTGCTGACCACCATCACAGCTCGACTGAATCCAATCATCTGTCAAGACGTCGATGCTGCGCTCAAAGAATATATGCCACCATGCGATGATTGGACTGATGTCAACATTAACGCAAAGCTAGTCACCATCATTGCCAAGGTCTCGGGTCGAATTTTTGTTGGCCCAGAGCTATCCCGGGATCCCGAATACCTCGACGCTGCATGCAATTACACTATCGATCTCATTAATGCTGTTAACGGAATTAAAAAGATTCGCCCGTGGCTAAAACCCTTCTTGGCACCACGCACACCAGAACTCATTGCTCTTCGCAACCGTGAGAAGCAAGCCGAGAAAATCCTGCAGCCTCTTGTCGCGGAGCGACTAGCTGCTAAAGCCGGAGATCCCAATTGGCAGGAGCCAGACGATATGCTACAATGGATGATCAACCGAAGTGATGGCAAGGAGTCTGTGGCGTTGCTCGCCAGATACCAACTTGCGGTTATTTTTGCCGCTATCCACACTACCACCATGACCGCCACAAATGTCCTCTACACTCTTGCTGTTACACCAGAGTACATTGAGCCGATCCGAGAGGAGATCCGCAATGCCATAGCTGAGCATGGCAGCATTACATTCCGCGCACTCCAGCAAATGGTCAAGCTGGATAGCTACATGAAGGAGGTTACGCGACTTTATCCTCCCGGTATTAGTAAGTAAAAAAAAACACTCTTCACACCCACCTCGTTCATCCTCAGGATAGAAAAAGAACAGCAATATGAAAAAACAAAACGGGCCACTTGAATACTAACTTGCTTTTTCTTCTCTCCAGCCTCCTTCGCCCGCCGCACACTCAAAGGCATCACCCTCAGCAACGGCCAGTATATTCCCCCAGGCGTCACCATCGAAGTCCCCTCAGCCGCCATTTACACCGATGAATCCGTCTTCCCCTCCTCAGAGACCTTCGACGGACTCCGCGCCTACAACGCGCGTTCCACGGGTAAAGCCAGCGATATCGCCCGCAACCAATTCGTCACGACCAATGAAGAGAACCTCACCTTTGGCTACGGACGACACGCATGCCCAGGTCGCTTCTTCGCCGCCAACGAAATTAAAATGGTCGTCGCCCGCCTCGTCCTCGACTACGACGTCAAGATGCCAAATGACGAGACGAAGCGGTATACCCAAATCGAAATCGGAAAGCAGAGCATGCCTGATCCCACCAAGACGCTTGCATTCAAGAAGGTCGTTATTTAGAAAAAAGTATTTTTTTGTGGCACAGTTTGTTTGCGTACAAGTATGAGTAAAAAGAGCATTGGTATATATATATATATTATTCGGCATTGGATAGTAGTAGTTCATTATACCACATGACAAACTGTGCTTGGTTTCCCCTTCTTAAAAAAAATAAGAGGAGAAAAGAACAGGGAAAAAAAGGCCGTATAGGAAAACATGGAATGGAATCAACTTTAACAAAGTTACCATATCATTTTCACTCGAGGTGTCGCAAGTGGCGCGCCACACATTACGTGCATCGGCTAAGCAACTTTATTTGTTAAATTCCCCCCCCCCCGTTCCATCCTAAATGCAGCCGTGCTATATTCTGACATGCATTCGCTTATTCCCATCGACAGAGGTTTAATCCAACTACAATTCTCCTCACTCACTCCCACATTCACATACACACACACACACACACCTTGCTACGTAGCGTGTTTCCAACTGTACTGCACTACAGCACAACAACAACAACAACAATAATAATAATAATAATAATAATAATAATCTCTCTTTCTCTCTCTCTTTTTGTTTGCTTCTTGAACGTTTCACAAACATGTATGTATTTATTTTTCTTAACACGCACATCTAGTTTACTTGCCATACATGTTTCTCTTGCATGGCAAAACATGTCTGAAGGACGGGGAGATGGGGAAGGGGCGAAAAAAACGAGAATAAACTATGCGCTCCTGGATAACACGCTTTCCGTGTGCATTGTTTCCAACTGTATGTGGGTGTATTCATCATCTTCTGGCTTCTTCAGCTTCCTCCTGTATGCTACATAGTTTCAACTTCATTCCCAGCTCACGCAATCTAGTAAGTCGCTAACCCATCCTCCCCTTCAGCTATACATTACAAAATCGCTTCAAGTATTCAAAGCACGCCTTCATTCCATTGTCAACCAAGCCCCCCCTCCCTTTCCATTGTTCTTCCTTGAATTACTCCCAAGCTCCAACCATGCAAACAATGACCAAGAAATCCAACCAAAGAAAAAGTTAAAAAAAAAGATGTGAAGATGAGTCCTAGAAGAAATCACCACCCGCCTCACCACGTGTGTCGCTTGCAGCATTGAACGATTGCTGTTGTTTCCATATGTGTGGTATCTGATTGAAAGCAGGGAAAAACAAAACAAAAAAGCGGTGGAACAAGTTGTCGAGGCATTACAAGTGGCAGCGAAAGAAGCAAATAAATAGATAAGGGGTGTGATATCGAGATCGGTACCGGTGTCCAGCAACTCCTTCCCAACCCCAGGTTCAAGGAAAGAAAAAAAAAAGGACGAACGGGCTCCAAAACTCGCCAAGATGCTTGATACAGGCCATGTATGATGGAGTCATATGCTGTAATGTACAAAGGCGCATTTGTTGAAGATGTTACAAAGTGCCGTATTGTTTCGATACATGGATCAAAGGGCCAAATTCGTCGCAGCCGGTGAACGAGAACTGACATGGCAAAAAGCACGGACAATGTTGACTCCAAACATGGAATCGGACAACGCGCATGTGCCAGTAGAATTTCCGTCCGTGTGTGGTTGGGCGATGAGATGAAATCCTAGATAAAACGCCCCACGGTCCGTGCAAAATGCCCAGGCCTTGCAAAGAAATCGAAAAAAACGAAGTGGTCTATAAACGTGCTTTTGCAATGCAATCCATTTTTGCGGGTATGTTCGTCTGGCGTGGCCACGTTAGGTAGTCGACATAAAGGAAATATGTGTTGGGGACCGAGATCCGGCAGTCCCTCTCCGGGAAAGGCTATGGGCTCATGACTGGCAGTCGTCCATGAATGAGTTCTTGGGCCAATCGTACGGAGTAGATTTCCTAGAATGTGTTAGTAGTGCTCCCATTTCGTGGTAGTATTGCGACTCACCAGTTGGTAAGGTTGGGGTTCATGTAAGCTGCAGGGTGCTTTTTAATATAGTCGGTAGTAGGGTAGCCCTCGGGATCGCAAGTAACAATCTGGTTGTCCTCTGGTTGGTAGATGCGAATATAGTCTACCCGCATAGTAGCGGGAAGGTCCTTCGCGATTTCTTCCAGGTTGATGGCTGCGAAACTGTTCGACATTCCAAAATTGGCAATGATCGACAGAGGTTCCTCGGGGATAGTACGTGTGCCAATGTTGCCGTTGGGGCGAACGGACGGGGCGTGCATTGTCCAGGTCTTGTCTTCACCAACATACCAAGTAATGAAGCCGTCGGATCCGGTCTTGTATTCGAACGAATAAGTCTGGTATTGCTTGCCGTCATACCAGTCGTTGTTCAAGTTAGTCAAGCCAGAAATAGCTTGCTGGAAAGGGCCACCCTTGTAGGCGTTCATGCTGGTAATTGACAGGTCGTAAACTTCCATGTAGTCTGCCTCAAATTAGTCAAGGATAAAAAGGGTCTAGAAAGTGCAATCATTACCGTAGTCAGGTTGGTACCAAATATCGAAAGGCGCGGCTTGGAAGGATTGAGAAACGACACCGACGGCATTGCTCTCTCCGGGGCCGAGGAAATGAACTGAACCTTCGAGGGCATCAATTTCCGGTGCGCTACGAGATTTGCCAGGGGATGGATGATCTTCTCCCTTGCATGTGCAAGCAGGCAGCTTCATTCCAGGCAAGTAGCTGAGACCGTCGTATGAGCTCTGGTTTGGTGTGATACCAACATCGCACTCGTCATGATAACTGTACGGCCACAAACCTTCTGTAGAAGCCAGATAGCCGGGACGGGCAAGGTTACCCATGGTCCAGAAACCGGGCCAGAAACCACTAACATTGCCGCGACCCGGGAGCGAGATGCTGGCCTCGAGGTGACCACCCTTGTAGCAGAGCTTGTTCCATGACTGGACCATACCAGAGCGATAATCGAGACCGTGGCTAGGCTCCGCCGAGAACCTGAGGTTCAGAGTACCGTCTTTAGTGAAAGCCTGATCGGGGTCGTACCACTGGAAAACGTTAGTGCGGCTGGGGCGCCAAGGTGTTCAACAAAACTTACCTCCAAATCCATTGTTGCGCCATACCAGATGTCCACGGCTTGGAAGTAAGGGTCGTCACCATCGTAAAAACTGCGACCATCGGTATTGAATTCATCGGAAAAGACCAAAACTTGTTTCTCGCCGTTGGCGCCAATACGGGTCATGGCTTCCTTGGGCGTGTCCGGATCGATGAGGCCTGTGCGGATATTTTTGAGTAGTGGCTCTTCTTGCTTGCCTGGTATACACAACGGGTTGCCTGAACATGGTGTCCGTTCTGGTGCTGTGGCTTTTTCAACAAAAGTCCTGGTAAAGACAGGTCAGCATCGTCAAGGTGTCATATGTCGAAAATTGGGAACGTACAGAATCGGGTAACCGACGAAAAGCATAAGAATGCCAAGAGCAAGAATTGCTAGACCGCCGACGTTGACTATACCTCTGCGGGTGAAGACGTCGCAGTCCCTCTTGTCTTTATCGTTGGGATCGGGGTTATGCAGGTAATCGTCCTTTTCAACGTCTTCAGGGAAAAGCAAAAGTCCGGCGGAAGGCAGAATGTTGAACTTTTCAGACACGGTTTGCGTATTCAGATCGTCCTCACTGCCAGCGCGGGATGGGGCTCTCGAGTCGTCAAAGGGCGAGGCAAAGGGCGCTCCGGTAAAGTCCGAACTCCAGCTCGTGCGTCTCGACGACAGGCCTGAAGGAGATTGTAGCGGAGACTCGTCCCGATAGGACCTGGGCCGTAGTCTTCCGGGCGGTAGTAGCATCTCAGCGGACTCTGCAACGGAAGCGTTGGCATAGACATGGGGCGCGCCGACGCTCTGAGAAGTTGATGGGCGGATAGGCTGTGTTAACGAGCGGGCGGTGTTGTTTGTTCGCGAAGTGCTTGGTCGCACCGACGGTGTGGGGAGGTCGTCGGTATTGGGCTGTTGGCCCCCCGAGTTAAGGCGGAGGTGGGGAGGGCCTTCTCCCCTTGGTGATTGGGGCGTCATGGCGTGAGTGAGTGAGTGAGCGAGCGTGTGGGATAAGCGATAGTGGACGGTGAAGCTATCTGATTATTCAGATATCCGTGGCAGACCAGAGGCCAAGTGATGTAGGAGGGACAGGAGGTGGTATGAATGATATTCGTTATTGCTGGGTGAAACGAGTGTCGCAAGCACGAATTGGCCGGTATTCAGGGTGGCGGATGGAATTCCAAAAAGAGTTGCTGGCTGGCTGCGAGGACACGACTGGCGGTGGGAAAAACAAAGGAATGCTCGACTCGTGTTTGCAGGGCCTGGTGTCGGTAGAGAGGCAGAGGCGTGCAAAAGGCGGCGAGCGAAAAGACAGCTGGGAGCCGCAGCTGGTGTCGTGTCGTGAGGCAGGAGAAAAGGGAGATGGAGATGGAGATTCAAGGGGAAGTCGAATGGCTCCTGGCCCAGATTGGGAGGGGGGGAGGCGGCCGGGATAAGGGCGATGGGCCAGGAACGCGTGCGTCGAAAAAGCTTGGCGGCTTTCAACGGGCAGGAACAAGTGACGCAAGAGACCGAAAAGCCGGGCGCTAAATCGGAGATGCAGATGATGGGCAGCCAGCAAGCAGTGGGCGTGTGGGATAAAGCAAAAGTGCGTCGTAAACGGGATGGGAATCAATGGGCGAGGGGCGGGTGCAGAGAAAGGCAGAGCGGCGGGCGCCGTGGGCAAAGGGTGGCAAGATGGTTGGGAGAGCTCGGGCTTGAGTGTTCCTGAATTTGGTACCCACTCCGGCTCCACCTGGAGACAGAGGAGACGACGACGCCAGCGCGGGCTGCGGGCTGCGGGCTGCGGGCTGCGGGCTGCGGGCATGGTACAGGTAGAGACAGCCAGACAGGGCGCTTGCATGCGGCGAACATCAGAGGCATGACATTGGCCGGCACGTTTCAACACAAGTCGTGAGCAGCCCTGCCCTGCCTTGCCCTGCCGCCCCGTGGTGGAGCCGGGGCAGTGCCTCGCTGTCCAAATTGCCATTTCATGCTTCGCTATCCTTTTCCGTCGCCAGCGACAATCAAGACGACGCCGACGACGACGACGACGACGACAGCAACCACGGACTCGGCTGCAACCGTCGCCGCCATGACAGTGTTGACGGGACCTCGCAATCGCTTGCGCTGCTTGTTTCTTCTTTCGCGACCGTTCTGCAGCCTCGCCCATGGGCGCAGCCTGCTGTTTCTACAGAAACGTTGCTGCACCGCTGCACGCGGTACTTAGGCAGCACAGCAAGAGCGCCATGCCATCTTTGCTTTACCCTCTCTTCAATAGCCTGGGGATCATCGCCAAACCCATTACGCGTCGCACCACATATAATCAGCGACCTCCCAGCCCCAGCACCAACGGCCTCTAAGACTATGTAAACCACTGGCACGCTACCGCACATGTGCACTCCAAGTCGAGGTGTAATGCCTTCAACCCTTTATGGCCGGCGTCGGTTGAGGCTGGCTGGCTGCATGTCAGTGTCCATGCCCTCTCTTATCGCGCCTTGGTGCTTCACCACCGTATCGTTGCCGCAAATAGCGTGGCGATCTAGCTCGTCTTTTTTTATGATCCTCCCTCGTCCTGCTCGCCTCCCCGACGCAGCTCTGTTACGGCTCTTTGACCAGCTGGCAGTCCTGCCCACGACATGGACACTGCCTGGACCAAACAGTTGACATGCCGAAACAAGACGTGCTCTTTGCACATGTCGTCATTACCACCCATTATCCTCCTCTTACGTGTTTAACTGACATCTGTCTGTCTGCCTGTCTGTCTTTGTGTGCATCTGCAGGCCTGCCGTCGAGGGGCGCGAGGCTGAGCTAGGGTGTATCCGAAATGAAAGCTCGTAAACGCGCAGCACCACCCACGCGCTTCTGGACTCTGCCGACGCTGCCACCTCCGCCCGTCGCTTACCCGTGATTGGCGCAATCCCGTCACCCCCAGCCGGCCAATCAATGCGCCCATGTCGCATTCCCCAGTACCGCAAGGCTGAGCCTGCCCATGCCTGAGATACCTGGGTCGGCTGTTTAATCACTGCCCACGGTACCGTCGACCAAGTCCCGTTCCCAAGGCCTGTCAACACCAGGCCAACCTCTCTGCAAGCCTGGGCTGCTCCGCTTCAAACACGTCATGGGCTCAATTTTTCCAATAAAACACCATCTTGATCGTCGTCTCATTGAACGGTTTGCTCCACTACCTAGCACCCCTACCGCTGCATATCCACCTTGCCATCCCAGCCACTACGACGTTTCAATCGGCTTTATTCGCGCAATGACCCTCGCGCCTTTGCCGGCCTGCCCATCACGTTCGCTTTGTGCTAAGTATAATGGCCCGGCCCCGACAAGCCCCCCCCCCCCACTACGACTCGATAGCCAGTGCTTTAAGCCCTACAATCCTGCCCTCTTTCTCATCCACCCCTACCACGTAGTACTCTACCCGCGTGCCTTCCAGCTCAACGCGGAACACCTTGACGGTACCGTTGGTCGCCAACTTCACCGCGTCAATCACGCCCTTGTACTGTGACTCAAACCCAGTCCCCTTGACTTCCTCCACTTTGTTGCCTCCGAGGAGCTTCGCAAGATCCTCTGTGCCCAGCGTTAGCAACTCCGTCTGCTCCTCATAGCATGAACATTAAAATAAGCACAAAAGGGCCGCCCTTACCACTAGACACGCTGCTGCCCTTGAACCCGAGCGCCACAGGCTCAAACGGCTCGTCAGATTCACTGATGTAGTACTCCTTCACTTCCTTGAGCCCGTTTGGCACTGCTGTGTTGACGCTCTTGGTCCCATAGCTCTTTTGTGATGCTTCTTTCACGTCTCCTGACCCCGTGTCTTGGTTCGCCTTGTCGAGAAACGCCGCGTAGTCGGCGTCGGAAGACATGGTTCGTATATGCGTCTGACCGATGACCCCGCACAATGCTGAGGGCGAGAATGTCGTCTTTGGCCGCTGAACAAGCTGCTTGAGTAGCCGTAGGTGGAGTCGCTCTTTCCTTGTTCTTGTGCTGCCCAAGGTACAATCAATCTTTTGCCCAGTTTCGCGTTGCAACGTCGTGCGACAAGAACAATGGTGATGTGTTCGTAATGTGTTCAACAAACGCTGTCCCAGTTTGCCCATGATGCTAGAGCAATGGTCTAGCCGTACGATGACGCAAATGCCCATGGCGCGTGGCCCTCCTAAAGCCGGCCAAGCGCAACCCCACTCTCACCCTCCATCTGAGTACCTACCACTATACATACTATGTACTACACACGAATTGATACTTTCACTCTCATCACGCGAGCACACTCAGAATTCCATAATGACTGCTATAACATTCTTGGCTAATTAGAAAATACATACAACACCCGCAGAAGCGGTCACACTATAATGCGCAGGGTATCATCGCCGTGCAGGAGAGCGTTATCCCGTCCCCCACATTCTACCTTGTCCTCAATCCAACTACAAACCCACACTCGGACCCTTCGTCACAAAAACTCCATCCCAGAAAAAGAAAACCGAAGTCATCTGAGCAAATATCACAAAACAAACAGTGTGTGTGTGCAGAAAAAAAAAGAAGACATGATGGGAGCCCTCGACGTGGCCCAAGTCCTGCCCTCTGCTATCATACTTATGGCTTTTGCTCAGCAGCAAGCGCATGAGTCACGCCATTGGTAGGCGCAGTGCGTGGGCTGCTCCTCTCAGATTTCGCCGCATTTGGCTTCGAGTCATCACCTTCATCATCGTAGTTCTCATCCACATCCATGTGGCGAGCAGCCGGTTCGTGGTGCTCAGGACGCTCTGGCTTCGATGTCTCCGACATGCGAGACAGTGGTCGCGCAGTAGCCATCGGAGGAAGCGAAGGCGGGTGGTGAGCAGCCTCGGATGGATGATAGCCATCGTTGAATCGTCTAGGGTCAGGGCCGTCCTGTGGGCTCTGGCGTGGCACTTGAGGCGACGACATGCGGTGTGGGGGTGTAGGCCGACGGCTGTGAGGCTCTTCAATCTTTTGGCGCTTTTCATCATTCGTAGGTGGCTTGGCGCTAATGTGTTCATTCTCCTCCCATTCGCGGTGTCTCTTTGGCGGCGCAGTTGGAGGGCGCTCATCACGATCACGCGCAGCTTGCTCAGCAGCAGCTTGAGCCGATGCTGGTGGAGGAGCACCACTAGCGATACCGCCACCAGTAGAAGGATCAGGGTGGTGCTGGTAAGGACCCTGATAACCGTTACGTGGGGATGCTGTTCGATTCTCAACGATAGGGCGCACTTCGGGGGCAGGGCTGCTAGGACGGGCACTGTATGGAGGGACAGCACCTTGTGTGGAGCCTTGGCTTGGTGGACCACCAAGACCAGTAGGTGGTGGGGGAGGTGGGGGAGGCACACTACCAGCGTGAGGCCCGTAGTTGGGATTCGAGATACGGGTAGGCTGGGGTGGCTGTGGTTGCGGCTGCTGGTGCACAGGTGGCTGTGGTTGCGCATGAGCCGCTTGAGGCGTGAGTTGCGGCGGCTGAGGGTGGTAGGGACTAGGAGCCACATGATGCGTCTTTGGAGACGGAGACATGCCGCGACGCATCGGTCCTGGGACAGGAGGGGGAGGACCGGCAGGGCCCTGAGGACCAGGACCGCTGGTGGGAGGGCGCGGAGGCTCTGCGTAGGGCCTAGGCGCTTCCTGCCTCGGGCTAGCAGGCCTCTGAGGAGCATGCTGAGTAGGAGGGCGGATGCCCTCGCGCTGCTCATATGGGTTCAATTGCTGAGGCGGTAGGCCCGGATCGCGAATCTGAGCAAGAGGGCGGTCCCAGCCAGCCGCCAAAGCAGGAGGAGCAGGACCTTGAGGAGGCTGCTGTGGTTGAGGAGCACCCCATTGAGGAGCAGCTGGACCATGAACTGACGCAGGCTGATAAGCCTGGGGATGTACATCCTGAGGTATAGGAGCATTGCCTTGATTTGGGGCCCCGGCAGACGTCTGTCCGTTCTGTAGAAGCTGAAGGCGAGCCTTGATGTGTACGTTAGATGGGTCAAGGTCGGCCGCGCGCTGGTATGCGTCGAGAGCATCGGCTGTCTGGTTGTTGCAAGACTCATACTGTGACATTGTTAGTGATGCGTTCTGAGCATTGGAGCAATGGGCTACTTACCAGTGTTCCTAGGTCGTACCAGACTTCCGAAATGTTGGGATTCAATCGAATTGCGCGAGAGTAGGCATCGAGCGCATCGCGGTACTGGTTGATCTGGTAGTACAGTACACCAATGCTGCACCAGAAGGTTGGGTTTCGGCCATCACGGTATACAGCTTGCTGGTAAGCCTCGTACGCCTTGGGGTACTTTTGTTGAGACATGTAACAACGACCGAGCAAGTACCAACTCTGTGCATCCGTTTGATCTAGAGCGAGACATTAGCGGCCGGCGCATGATCGTGGATGATTACAAGACTTACCAGAAGCGACCGACTTCTCAAGGTATTCAATGGCCTGTTCCTGGCTCGCGTAGTTTGTGCTTTGTTGGTGATGAAGCCATCCCAGCTGTTGGAGCACCTTCGCGTGGTTGGGATCGCGGTCCAGGACCCGGCGGTAAGCGCCCTTTGCAGCTTCGAACTAGTTCACGTGTTAGCTGTTGAAAGCTTTCAAACCTTGATGATACGAACCTCTTTCTGTTGTTCATAGACGTGTCCAATCTGGAACCAAATGTCCTCTTCAGTGAGTGGGCGGGGAGGGTTGGTGACGATATATTTGAAGCACTACGAAAAATTAGAATGTTTTCGTGCGTTGCAAGCTGCGATGATACTTACGTCCAAGCTCTGGTTGAACTTTTGCTGTTGCTTGTAAATTATACCCAGACGGAAGTAGATCTCGTTGGCCTTCTCAAAGGTAGGCTCCATACGCATAACTTGTGAGAAGGCTTCCTCGGCATGCTCCAATGATCCGTAGCGGTCATAGAGGATACCAATGCCATACCACAGTTTAGGCTCCTGGTAGGCGTTAGTTGGCTGCATTGTCTACAAGTCACACACAGAGAGAAAGAGAGAAAGAGAGAGAGAGAGAGGAAACATACCTTGGGATCAGAGAGGTGGTACAAAGCTTGTTGGTAAGCCGAGTAGGCTTGCTGCAGATCATCCATCATCAGATAGCAGTGGCCTGGTAGAGTTAGCAATGGTTTTGGAAAGCCGCGAGATGATGTTCTTACCGAGACTGCCCCAGACGTCACCGTTTGTGGGATCAACTTTCAGAATGGTGCGCAGGTACTCCACAGCGGCTGGAAAAGCATCTTTGGTGCGCAGGATGCAGGCAATGCCTTGCATAGCCGGTACAGACCATTGGTTGAACTTCAAGGCCTGTTCGTAACATTGCATGGCGCCGTCGTAGTCCTGCATTTGCTCGGATAGAGAGCCTGTTGCGTGTCAATGAAGGTTTAGAGCGCGCGCGACGGAACATTGCTTACCCATCTGTGTCCAGACGGCCTCGGTCAATTGACCCAAGTACTGGGATGAGGTCTTTGGCTGGTTCGCGTGGGGTGGGTGGCCATTCACCTGCGCGTGCGCAGGATGCTGGGCTACATGGTGTGTTGGTATGCCCGTGGTGGGCGAAGGCTGCTGGTGCTGGGCCATGATGGCTTGCTGCGACTGAGCTGCCTAGAGTGCGACGATTGCGCTACCTGGGCCGCGACAGTGGCAGGGCGGTTGATAGTGAGCAAGTGTCGTCAAGAGCGGCTGTGAATGGCGCCAGGGCGGCTGTCTGGGTCAGTTGTGAGATGGGGAATGATGGTGTTGATGATGGATGCTCACTGGAGGGTGCTGGGCGCGCGTCTTGCAAAGCGTGCCGGCGGGTGCGAGTCGAGGCGTGGAGAGGCTGGCGCGGAGAACGACAGCAGCGCGCAGAGGAACACGGATGATGTGGACCCCGACCTGGATCAGGCAAGTAGTATGCGATGTACCAGAGCTGGCGTGATGGCGCAGTGAGGGCTTCGGGCAGAAGGGAGAGGGAGAAGGAGAGGCAAAAGGCTGGAGTAGGATGCAGCCTCGTGGAGGAGAAGCAAGTGAGGAAGCAGCAGACGAGCGAAGAAGGAAGGGGCAGGGCGGTCCAACGCTCTTTCTCTGTGGGTTAGGGTTACTGGATGCGCCCAGGATGGGTGGGCTTTCATCTGTGCGGGACCATGGGCGACGATATCCTGGTAAGCGCGCTAGTGCAAGCCACACCGGGGTCCGCTATTTCTCTGAGCGACCCGTTGCCAGCAAATTGCGTGCCCAGCATCATCACCACCGACGCGCTGCCTATGCGCCCGCACCCTGTTCCTGCGCCTGTGAGACGACCGGTTTGGGGCCGCTCTCAAGCAGAAAAATAAATGCTCCCCCCAAGGCCCACGACACCGACACGTTGGCTGCAGCGCGCTCGACCGACGGCAGCAGAGCCGCCATGGGCGCCGTGTTTGTTCTGCTCCCATGTCGTGCTGTCACAGTCAGGAAACGAGGTCGTGGTCGATCCGGTAGCGTTCGTGCCAGGTTCAGCGGGCTCCGCTAAGTACTCGGTTGTGATGGATACGCTACCACATGGCGCTATATGCGCCTCATACATATAGTGAACAGATGAATCTTATTTGGCCGGTGTTCCAGCACCTATACATCATGGGCATCAGGGCGCCACTGGGTGCTGTCATTACTCAGGCTCGTGCCTGGTGTCTGGCAGCTTGGATCGCGCAGCAGCGGCGTTGTTGCACCACTTTTCCAAACGTCGGCAGCATGCCTAGCCTTCAGGGCTGGCTGGGTACAGGAGGAGCGCATATTGCCGTCATACTGGCCTCTAGTCCAAAATAAAATCCACCCCCCTCCCCCCCTTTGATGAAATTCTCCGCAAGTGGAATGTGGGTTGGTCAAATGCATAAAAGTCAAAGCTACGATCATCTTGTCCCGGGCGAGCTGCGAGGGCGATGGTTGTGGGCTGTGGGTCGTGGGTCGTGGGTCATGGGTCAGGACGCCTATCGCGCGCTGCTGGGAGGCGTCGCAACAATGCCATGCTAGACTGCTGCGAACTGCAAGCAATGCCCGGGCGGCCAACTTGTCCAGCTTGCAGGACGTACATGTCGGGCCATGGGGCGTGGCGGCGACTCTTGTATGCAGAGCAGACGAGGGCACAGAAGAGGGGCGCAGGGCTCGGGGCGTGTTGCATGTGCCACACAGCGCTGCGGCAATGGCAGCAGGCGCAACTGCGACGGTGCGGAAACACAGCTTGTATGCGCTGCAGCTAGCCCACGGCGTGTGACGGTGCTGACAGTTGTCGTCGAAAGGCTGGGCTCAGGGTGCCGGCACCGCGCAGGCTCCCTGGCACACAGACTACGGTCGCACGGTGGCACACGAGGGGCAGGGTGTCATGATTAACGACGGATCAGCGCCGCCAAAGCGGCAGACACACCTCCACACCTGAAGCTTCCGGTCGTCTGCTTAGCGCGCCTTGGCACGTCGCTGACGCAAATTGTCCTCCGCTCCCGCGTCCTCGGCAGAAAGCTCGTGTCACCCAATGCATCCCTGCCGCGGCCTGCAATCTGACAAGAGCCGATCATTTGCTGCCGCCTGAGCTTGTAGCCGGGATCTCGCGTCGCCGCCTCAGCCTGCAGGACCAGGCCTTTGGGGTCTGCTGCTGCTGCCGCGCCCTCGAGCCATGATTGCACCGAGGAGAGCGTGCTGGGCGGCGGCCTGCAGCCTGCAGCCCTCCCCCCTCGTCGTCCCCAGAGGCGCAGTGGGCAAGGCGAGCCCGGCGCACCTAAGGACGTGCATGCACGTCTCCATATATATCTGTATGTATCGACTTACATCCTTACTTACATACGTACGATGGACTATACTCTGTATGAACAGGTCTGGCGCGCCGCACTGGTGGGCGCTGGGGTGGCACGGAGAGGCGTGACCAGAAAGGACATCGGCCCGCAAAAACGCCACTCAGCGCGTCTGGGCTTGGGGCAGAGAACCGCAGCCACGTGAAACTTACCTAAGCGGTGTGGGCCCAGGGGCGAAGCCGTGCCGGTTAGCGAGCCGCCCCCCATTCTGTGAGCCACGAATGCGGAAGGTCCAGTGACTTTGGGGCACGTCCGATGCCATACTTTGGCTCGGAAACAATCTCGACCTACCAAGGGTCCCTAGATACATTCCATACGAGCACTCACTATAGGTGGGTGTAAGGCGGATGCGAAACACGCTTGTCCTTTGTTTCATGCCTGCACTTCCTCTCCACCACACCTGTCGTGCATTAAGGCCACGACGCCGGAAAATGCTCGGGCAAGCAACCACACAAGCTTTGCATTTTAGGCTTTGGCTGCTAGTGCTTGAGTGGATGCAGGTTGGCTTGCGAGCCCACTGCTACTCTACTACGTACCTACACACCACACATATATTGTCCTTCCCAACAGCCCGGTACTCTACTGTACACACGACGTCGATAGCGTCTCGGCCACTATAGTAATAGCCACCCCATCCAGAATGCCGATGTGCCGATATGCCGACGTCTATCTCTACTTGGTGAGATAGGGTAGTAGTGTACGATAGACAAAGGTGGTTGGGGACGGCCAGATGCCAAGATGCAGAAATACATTCTGACCATAATACGGATAAATGTTCGTCTTATGTCATCTTCATCGCGAGCAGGCTGGGTACTTACTACATCCTTCTGGCAGCAAAGGCAAAAATCTGACCAATGGAAGTAGGTCCGGCCTCAGCCATTGACATGACATGCGTGTGAGACTATGCCGGTTCGACTCTCCACAAGGCAACCATGAAGCTCAAGAGCGAGTTGCCATTGCTCGCATCACCAATCAAGCGTACTGGGCGCAGAGCCACAGCGGTCGCGTTGGTCGGGGTGATGCGCCATGCTTGTCACGACGATTATTGACGCCCATGACGCGTCCAAGTCTTTCTCTCCCTGCTGCCGTGTTGCCCTGTAAGGCTTTCCCAGTCGTAGTATCATCTACATCAACCGATTACTAACAGACGAACTCTGTCTCCTTAACGTGTGTACATAATGCATATGAACGCAAGTGGCCAACAGGCATATACAGAGATAGAAGTCTTTTCCTAGCAGCCCCGTCATCTGTAGTGCAGAGTACACGATGCATACATAAGTATATACGTACAGAGGTGAAAACATCATGAGGTCGACCACACCATCAATAGTCGGGCTTGTTGTGTTGTTGCGATCATCCGGTCCTGTTCTGAACAAGGCGCGTGCCGAGTGTTTTTCCTTTTTGACGTGCCAAACTACCCATCGGTGAACAAGAACCGATGCATCGATGACGAGGCTCTCAGATCTACACTGCACTGCACTGGCCTACCCGCATCGTGGCCCAAGTAGCCCCTGCCGTCAATGGCATGGTCACTACCTATACTAAGTACACGGCACAGATGGGTGGCTGAGGCGGGAGGGCAGTTGAGGCGTCGGATTGAATTGGGCGTCGTTCTTGAAGCGGCAGTAGCTGCGTGGGCTTTGTGGAAGGAGCGAGCCTCGTCTTGGCGGCGCCCCAGCAGGCGGCAGTCGGTGCGGAGATTTTGCTGCGTTCATCCTGGCGCCATGCTTTTATCCCAGTCATGTCACTGTCTTGAGCCTGAGGGCTGCCTGACGAGCCTGGCCAGCCTGGCCCCAGCTTGCTTCTGCTGCTTGTTGTGCTGTGCCAGTGCTACCCCATTGGACCTACCCCAACCCACCAGAAGCAAACATAGCCGCACAACAAGCCGCCAACACGGAATCCCACTATCAATAACGCGGATGGATGCGATGCCGCACCCACACGGCTGCATACTCGCGCCCACATGCCTACCGCGTCTGGCCTATTTAGCCAATTCTCCTTTTCCTCCTCAGCGGGATTCCGTGAACATCCCTTCCCACTTCCCCCCTCCCCCCTTTACCGCTATCCTTGCTATCCACCCCCCCCCTCACACAGTGTAGGATACCGAACCGTCATACGACGCTTGACTGCTTGCAGCCATGCGTCAGTGCAAGCTCGACACCCAATCTAGGCCATATTACTGTAAGCGGTGCGGGAGCAACAGTCGTCCCATGCAGATCCGAATTCATTAACAACGGTTCCGCCTGGTACCCCCGCGACCCGGTAACTTTGTTCAATCTGGCTGCTTACTTACTCTACTAGTACTACTGTCTACACGCGAGCATCCAACTATGTACTAAGTACATACTTACGTATGTCCTCCCCCTCTGCAACACTTTCCGGGAGAGAATGCAGGCGGCTAATGCGGGCGATCGACAGACCCCGCGTGGGCGAGACATGCAAGTGGTTGGAAAGCGCCGTTGTCTGACAGGTAGCGCATGACGATGCAATGGAGAGGCAAGAGGGAGACGACTCGTTTGCTGGTCCACAATTTGCTGCATTCGCTGCTGGTTCAGCAAGGGACAAGCATTTCCTCTGCCCACTTATCGTCCCACCCTGCGTCCGTCATTGTCCAAGCAACCGGACAATGGCTTGCCACACGCACACGCTCGAATAAACGGGAAGGCGCATCATGCAGTGAGTGTCCCCGCTTTCTCGCTTCGTACGCGATGCCGTGGTAGACAAGAGCAAATTCTATCATTATCGCCATCATCGCCCACTGCCCATGGCCCACCGGCCCTC